ATTTTACGAGTAATCAGTTACTGTTGCGGCGCTTATTTCTCAACTAGTTATGCCACTTTCGGTAGGTTTATCGTGAGACAGTGGAGCCTGTTGTGCCATTAATTTTCCAGCGCATCAAAGCCACTTGCTTTGCATATGGGCAGACAGGTACGTAGTCTCTGTGTACTAACTACTAACCCATATTCTAGAATTGTATATTCTCAATGTGAACTATCATGTTTGCCTCTCAGGTAGTGGTAAAACCTATACCATGAAGCCTTTGCCTCTTAAGGCTTCAAGGGATATCCTAAGGTTGATGCACCACACATACAGAAACCAAGGGTTTCAGTTGTTCGTCAGCTTCTTTGAAATCTACGGAGGAAAGCTTTATGATCTCCTCAGTGAGAGGAAGTAAGTTGTTATCTTATACTGAATTCTATGCGTTTTTATGTAGCTGAAAGACAAATTTTCTTAACTATTATAGGAAGCTGTGCATGAGAGAGGATGGTAAGCAGCAAGTGTGCATCGTTGGTTTGCAAGAGTACAGAGTATCTGACACAGATGCGATTGTGGAGCTTATCGAGAGAGGAAGTGCAACAAGAAGTACTGGAACCACTGGTGCAAATGAAGAATCATCTCGCTCACATGCTATCCTTCAGCTCGCTATTAAAAAATCAGCTGAGGGGAATCAGTCAAAGCCCCCTCGCCTCGTTGGCAAGCTTTCTTTCATCGATCTTGCTGGAAGTGAACGTGGTGCAGACACAACTGATAATGACAAGCAGACAAGATTGGAAGGAGCAGAGATCAATAAGAGCTTACTTGCTTTAAAAGAGTGTATTAGAGCTTTGGATAATGATCAAGGTCATATTCCTTTTAGAGGAAGTAAGTTGACTGAAGTTCTGAGGGACTCTTTCATGGGGAACTCTCGTACTGTAATGATATCTTGCATATCTCCAAGCTCTGGATCGTGTGAGCACACTCTTAACACCTTAAGATACGCTGACAGGTTGGTTTTTTACTTGCTTGATGTTATATCTTTCTTTCTTTTTGTCATATGTGCATCCCATAAACTGTGAGGAACTGTAGGGTTAAGAGTCTCTCGAAGGGAAACGGCTCTAAGAAAGATGTGTCTTCTTCAACGTTGAACCTAAGGGAGTCCACTAAAGTTCCTTTATCTACCGCACTACCTACTCCATCCAACTATGATGATGACGTGAATGAGACGTGGGGTGAAGAAAACGATGACTTTGATGCATCGGATTACGAGCAAGAGAAACAAATGTGGAAGAAAAACGTGAAGCCAGAGGTATCCTATGCACAGGAGAGAATCCAGAAGCCTACTATTCCGGTGAAGTCAAGAGACATGCCAACAAGGCCAGATATGAAGAAGTCAAACTCCGATGACAATCTAAATGCACTTCTGCAGGTAACCTTCAGAAAAAAAAAAAAATCATATGTTTTTTTTAATCAGCCTTGACACAAGAACCATTTTTTACAGGAAGAAGAAGACCTTGTGAATGCACACCGTAAACAAGTTGAGGACACCATGAACATAGTAAAGGAGGTATGAATTGTCTCAATTTTTTGACAAATCCTCTGGTTATGATTCTATCTTTTAATCTCTTTTTTGGAATCACATGTGCAGGAGATGAATCTGCTGGTGGAAGCAGACCAACCAGGAAACCAGCTAGATGGTTACATTTCAAGACTGAACACAATTCTATCTCAGAAGGCTGCAGGTATACTCCAACTACAGAACCGTCTTGCTCATTTCCAGAAGCGCCTTAGGGAGCACAATGTATTGGCAGCTACCACCAATGGGTACTGACCCCCTCCTCTTCGAGTAAATACTGGTCCTCCTTTTATCGACCTCGTCTCAGGTTTTGCACTTGGTGACCTCTTCTGGCTTTGACTTGAGTTCATTCAGAAGTTTATCTATATTTACAGCTTGCTGCCGCACTTGAATTTGTTCAGGTTCTTGTTATAGATGATTTGTTGCAGAAGATGAAATACCTATGTAATAATTTTTGCTATTGTGATATTGATGAGCTTGCCTTCTATTATAAGACCATATTCTATATACCTACAGTAGACCAATTAAAAAGTTTGCAGGTCGAGTTTTGGAAGCTAGAACTCAGGTATCGTTTCAACGTACATGAATCTGAAAAAGAAAAAATATATTAGCAGCAAGTGTTGAGATACACAATACTTCGAAGATGAGAATAGTAATGAAGTGCCCCCTTCAATGTCAAGGGCCTGCTCTATATCTCTTGCCTTAAACACATACATCTCTTTGGTGGGAAAATGGCCTATTTCAAGTTGAACTTTATCAATCGTGTCTATTCCTTCCTCGAACTTTATTGTAGTGCGTATAATACTATATGAACTTTAAAAATCGTGAACTTTAAAAATCGTGCATTTTCCTTCCTGAACTTTATAGTAGTGCATATTTCACACTGAACTAAATAAAAGTATAAAAATGCAACACGAACTCTCAAAATCGTGCTTATATATATAAACCGTCAAATTTGTTAGTCATCCGTTAGTTTATCAAAATGGCGTCATTTTAGATCAATTTTATAAAATTAAAATACTACATAAACTTGCAAAATCATGCTTATATATATATTAATCATAAATGATATTACTCATTAGTTAATTTATAAAAACAACATCATTTTGGATAAATTCTATAAAATTAAAAAAAAACTTTTTTGGAAAGTATTTTTAAACTAATTTACAGAATTTATAAAAAATGACGTCGTTTTAATAAATTACCCGATGTGTAATATCTTTGATGGTTAATATATATAAGCACGATTTTGCAAGTTTATGTAGTATTTTTAAATTTCTATTTTAGAAAAGTTATCGAAACTGACGTCGTTTTGATAAATTAATGGATGGCTACCAAATTTGATAGTTTATATATATAAACACGATTTCGAGAGTTCGTGTAGTATTTTTATATTTTTATTTAGTTTACTGTGGAATATGCACTGCTATAAATTCCACAGTAAACTAAATAAAAAATATAAAAATACTACATAAACTCTCAAAATATATATAAGCATGATTTTGCAAGTTAATGTAGTATTTTTAATTTTATAAAATTGATCTAGAATGACATCATTTTGATTAACTAACGGATGACTGACAAATTTGACGGTTTATATATATAAGCACGATTTTGAGTGTCCGTGTTGTATTTTTATACTTTGGTTTAGTTCAGTGTAAAATATGCACTACTTGAAATTTCAGGAAGGAAAATGCACGATTTGTCAAGTTCATATAGTATTTTTAAGTTTTTGTTTAGTTCAGTATGGAATACGCACTACAACAAAGTTTGGGAAAGTTCAGGTTGAAATGGACCATTTTCCGTCTCTTTAATCGTCATCTCCATTGTATCAGTCTCTTGATGGTTGTGAACAGTAGGCTTCTGTTTTTTTTTCTCTCTTGATGATCTTGTTTGTGCTCTTGAGCCTTTTGCTCCAGCTTCAATGAACATTCAATGCTGTTTTCGAGATCAGACTTGCATATTTGAGGAAACTCGAGTAGATATTGTCTCCATGGAGAGAGTTTGATGTATAAAATATACATGAGAATTGAGATTTTGGTCTATGGAATCTAGTGATATCATTTCAAACATTTAATATAATAAAAATCCAAAAAAATATTTGTTTATTTAAGAAATTAGCTATTTGATTGTTTTAAATTAACCAAATTAAATAAAATATCTAAAATCTGTTTATTTAAAAAATATATAGCAAAAATTCATCAGTTTTAAATGCTAAAAATAATATATTATAGTATATCAAATATATAATAATATTATATTATATTTTAATATTACTTGTATCCGTAAATTTACGAACAACTATCTATCTAGTAATGATGTAAAAGCGTCATTTCGAACATGTGAGCACGCCTTAGAATTAAATGCTAGATGTATTAATTCTAGGATTGGACACAAATGCTTAATACTCGGCTTGTATTCGTTATTTGACTCGGTTTGGTTTGAAAAAACAAGTATTTGCTCCATTTAAGTCGAGTAACAAGTAAACGGATTTTATTATTTGCAAGTACAAGTCAAGTATCAAATTCATTTTAATTTTTAATTACTTGGTTTGTTATTTGGTTTATTACTTGTTATCATTTACTTTTTACTTGTCATATGTTATTTGGTTTATTAAATACTTAGTATATAGATGATCTTTTGATGAGAAGATCGAGGAATGTATAAGATGTTCTACATCTTTGAGATTACAACATTTTCAAGATTTACCAATTTGGATTCTTTGGAGGATATGGAAGAGTAGAAACATACTCATCTTTCAGCATAAATCTATATCCTGGCGAACAACCTTGAAACAAGCTTATGATGATGCAAAAGAATGGTGGAACAATAGGGGGGAGAAGGAAGGTTTTCAAGTGGATATCGACAGAGACAACAAACGCAAAGAAACATTGTGACGTGGAAGCGACCTCCCCTAGGATGGGTAAAATATAATGTCAATGGCTCCTATACTAATGATATGTCGCCAGGAAAGGTTGGTTGGGTTATACGTGATGAAGTTGGTGTTTACAAAGGAGCAGTTCAAGCAATTGGCAAACAGGTTAATAGTGCATTAGAGTGTGAAATGCAAGAAATACTGATGTCGATTCAACATGCCTGGAGTAATGGGCATAAAAATGTAATTATTGAATCTGACTGTCAAAAAACAGTGGAGATTTTGAATAATTGCAAGCTTCACTTCCATTGTTATAATTAGAAACAGGAGATACAATGGTGGCAATACAAAGTGGGAGATGTTAAGTTTGTTTGGACTGATCGTTCTTCAAACAAGGTAGCAGACAAGATGGCTACCTCAAGATTCCAATAACTTTCTGTTTCATTATTTTGTTCCCTCTTTTATAACTGATCTAGTTCATGATGATTATGTAAACTCATTCTAAAGTTAATAAAATTAAGTGTTATAAAAAAAATACTTAGTATATATTTCTTTAATTAATTAAAATTTATGTATTTTATGAGTGGCTATAATTACTTGTTACTTGCCTCATGTTCATTACTTGGTTGATACACGATTTTTAAAGTCGAATACTTGCTTTGACTAAGATGTGTATCAAACAGTCTATTTAAATAGCCTTCAAATACAAACAAATACAAAATAATAAAATAAAAATAATTATTCAGCGTTGTTTGGTTTATTATTCGTTTTGGTCTATGAACAAAAATACATTTTCCTAAATAATCGTAAAACAATTCATTTATATTTTAATTTTTATAAGTGAATCAAACATAAGTGATATATTTATATAAACATTTTGAAATTTTTTATTTCTTAATATAATATATTTCACGAATGATCAAAAATCAGAAAACAATGACAAAATGAAAACAATGACATATTATTTATATATAATAAATTATTTACTTTTAAATAATTTACCAATAGTTATCAAGTAATTTGTAAGAATTTTTACAAATAACAAGTAATAAAACAAGGCAAGTAACTTGCAAGTCTATCAATTTTCACAAGTACTTGAAAATGCAAGTATTCGTTTTTTAACAAACCAACTACAAATCTAAAATTTGAATACTCATACAAGCCAAACCGAATACTAAGTATACCGAAAACACCAAGGTTTGTGCCACCCCTAATTAAATTCACCTTTAAATCTAAACTATGTTGAGAAATGATGGTTGGGACATATCCGGAAATGGACCAGACCACATCAGTCTCGCTTCAGTCCAAGACCAGGCGACAAGCACCTTATCCTTATCCATACCAGGCGGCCAAGACTTGTCATTATCCTCCCTTGTATTTATCCATATGTTGTAGTTATCCTAATCATTATAGGATTAGGATAATCATCCCCTTTATT